TTTAAATAATCAGATTTAAAAATTATTATTATATATGGTAATAATAGTATAATACTTTAGTTTCAGTTACACTAATCTGAATTACTTATAAAATAAATTGAGAATTTGAATTATTTTTATTTTTGTAAAATTTGGTAATTAAACTGTTATAAATATTGTGAATATTATGAATTTTGAGTAAAAAAATTTTCGAAGTTTATTGTAAGAGTTTGTTGAACTCTTTTGCAATTGAGAATTTTTTGCTCAACTCAATTTGCAATTTAAAAAAAATTGTTATACTCGTATACTTAATGAATATTGTTTGGTCTCTTATTCGACAATAAAATTTTGAGCTCATACGAATTGCTATTTGTGACTCAAACCATTTTGAATTTAAAAAGAAAATTAATTGTTATTGGAAACGTGAGAGTAGATTTTAAATCGTTATACTTAAATATAGTACATTTCTTGTGTGTATAACAGTATTGTGTTCTTGTGTGTATAACAGTTAACTTTAAATTTTAAATCAGTCGGTTACCTTAGTATTTATTCTGTATTTTAAATTCACTTTTTTATATTTTTCACTAAATATTTAAGAATATGTGTGAAAAATTAAAATTTTTAATGAATTGTATATTTTATCGCACTCTTGCCTGTTGTTAACTATGCTCACATTTCATAATAAAATTTCAGACACTTTTCCTTTATTCAGCTGAAATTCAGTTTCTGTTTATATTGTTTATTTGCACAACATGATGGATTTATTCCGACTTAACCTAAATAATTGCATCATTAAAATTATATTTTTCTAATTTACATACAGCATTTAATTATAATTAAAAAAAATTGAAATTTTAAATAACTTCTTCAATATTTTTTTGTAAACTTTTAATTGCTTCACAAAATAGTTAATGAAAAACTAAATAGAAATAAAATTTTCTCTATAGATTCTAAAACTTTAAATATTTGCTGTATTTTAACGTTGACTACATGTAGTTTTAGTGTGTTTTTACTATGATTTTATTTATACATACCTATATACATCACAACCTTCAGTTTGTATATATACATAGTTAGTTTATTTATTTAATTACTAAATAAATTATTTGATAATTAAATTAGCAACTTCAATTTAGAATCTAGTTATTTATTAAGATTGTATTGCTAATTTTTTGGATTCATGAAAATTTCGGAGTGGAACATACAAAAAATTTGTTACTATGCTTCTGATATCTAGTATTTAATAAACTGTTTAAGGAATATTTGATTTATTAATTTGATTTATTAAATTTTCCAAGTTATTTGAACAAATTCAAATCGAAGTTATTTACTGAAGTTATTATTTATTAATATTACTATATCAAAAGAGTGGAAATATTCAGGTGAATTTAGAGAGTATCATCACGCTTAATTAATATTTTTTTTGGTGAGGATTTAAAAATTTTTATTAAAATATTACAAAATAATTTTTAAATTCTAATCACTGTTGCTATTTTTGCTTTTATTTTTCATTAGTTTTTTGAATTTAAATTAGGTCATCCAGTGATTATTTTTTAATGAATTTGGATATTTTTTTTAATTACATTTCCAAATAACGAAAAAATAATAATTATAAATTAATTATTAAACAAAAAATTTAAAAATTCTAATAACTTAAATGAAATGGAAATTTAATTATTTTAGTTTGTATCAAATTTAATATTTTTAATACAATCTCAAATCCACTTTTTTATAGACAAATTATTTTAAGTAGAATTCGTACAAGGTGTACAAGAAATAAATTTATATAACAAATTTGAGGGCATCTTATATTAACTCGTAGAAATTTTGTAAAGTGTTGAAATAATCATAATACTAAATACAAAATTTAAATAAGCATTTGCATTGCAGGCTCAGGTTTAAATATTTTAAGCATTACATTTTATTTCTTACTACGTACTTACAATTGAAGACTCGAATGAATGAAGGTTTCAACTACAGTTTTATTACAGTTGAAGTTTCAAGTAAATTAATCTTTTTTCCAAGCAAAATAATTCAAGTGTGACATAACACCTTTTAAATATAAGCAATCTCTTAAACTGAGTCGTTTTTTGAAAAACGGATTTTTGCGTGTGAAAAATAAATATTTATGCAATAAACCCATTTTAGTAAAATATTGAAGATGACACTTTCACTCACTCGTGCCTTCAAATGTAAACCAGAAATTAAGTTTTTTTCATGTGCTCTCAATATATTAATATTCCCAAACATTCTCAATCACGTGTTCTCAATTCATTATTGTTATTCAGAAAAATATTGTACTTGCTCCCGATAACAAACCATCTGATTCTTTGATTGATTATTATTGTTCCAAATTAAGTAAGTACTTCAGTTCAAGAAATTCTGTTGCTTTTTTTAATACTCTTTAGTATCATTTTTCTCTCAATTGCTGTATTAATATTTCGTTATAAATACTACTTCCAATTGATTACACTTGCTGTGATTGTACCTGCTATAGTATTTATACTACTTGCAAGTAGTATTTAGTACCAAAATCACTTATCTCACCGATGTTAGCTGATTTTGAACGAAACATAATTGATATGATATTATTGACAGTTATTAATAACAATTACTTGCAAGTAATAAGAAAAATATTAATAAAATCTATATTAGTTAAATAATATGACAATTTTACCAATACAAGAGAGGATATGAGTATAAATAGTATGAGTAATTAGTATTCTCATAATTAAAATAGCAACAGTCTGAAAACATCTCACGTACTTAATTCATAATAATTATCATGTTATTGAAATATTATACTTATTAAAAATCATAATTGATGATCGAATAAATTTAATTTATTTAATACAATAGAAGATTCTCATATATTGTAATAATTAAATAATACTTACTTTCATTATTATCCAAATTATTTAAAACTGAAACTCAAAAGTAATTATACTCAAATTTTAATTACTTGAACCATTGCAAAAAAAAAAATTGCTAGCTAAATCATTTACTTTTATGAAAATAACTTTATAAATTTAATTAATTATTAAATAATTTTATTCGATTAATGATCTTTTAATAATTTTAATCGATTTATTTCGATTTAATAGCTATATCAATTACTTTGTGTCTTTGAGAATTTTTGGTATTTATTTTTCATAAATTAATTTCAGCTGATTTTTTTTTTCAGTTTTATAATTTCACTTAGCGTTAAATTTATTTACTCTTTATTATTATTTTTTTTTTTGTTATACAATATTAAAGCATTCAAAATTGAATTTTTAACTTTTCATTTAATTTCAATGATAATTATTGATGATTTACGGAAATAAAACAACTTATTTAGCCTTAATAATTTGTTTGTGAAAAAAATATAAAATCGTATAGATCTACCTAGATACATACCTATATTTCTATTTCTTTTTTCTTTTTCCTGTATCATATTTGCTTTTTTAATTAGGAAAGCGAATAATGAGTACATAAATAATAATTAATAAAATCATAATGAAAATACAGTAAAGTATCGGATATTTAAAAAGTACAATTGAACATCGGAACGCCCGGGTCTGTCTGGCTCTTAGAAATTTGTATCTCCCTTGGGACTGGGGGGCGAGAGCTACTATACTTGGTCGTCTTGATTAGGGTATTGATGGGTGGCCCGCTCTGGACACTGCTTCTCGATGGTCCATCTGAAAAAGATGGGCAGGGCGGAGGACGGAGCATGTCGTCTATGCCTGGAGCAGGACGGAACGATGGAGCACCTATTGTGCGAATACGAGGTGGTGGCTGGCGCCTGCGAATGACATGATTCGTGTGGAGGGGGATGCTTTGTGATCCCGAGGAAAATCTCGCGCCTAGATGTAACTGCCATACCACAGTTTGTCAGTGGCCTATGTATAAGGCTAATGTAGATGAGGATAAGAATCAGAAAAGATCCTGTGGTTCGACATTAGACGGACTCAAAAGAGGAAAAAAAAATACAGATACGTACTTATTATGTAGTAATATGTTAATCGAATTCAATAGTTAGAAAACAAGTCATTTTAAAAAATTTGTTCAATACAGCGAATTCGGAACGGACTTGAATATTACAGAACGGAATTTAAATATTATTCAGAAAGAAATTCATGTAAATGGAGTATTCACTGTGCTCTTTCACAAGTTGTAAGAATTGCTTTTTTTTTTTTTTAACTCAAAGTTAATGAATAATATTGAACACTTGTTGAACATTTTCCATCAACCTTCGTTTTATATTTTAATTACATACGAGTATTTATTGGTAAGCTTTGTATATAATTATATTTTTTTTTCAATTGACTGTATCGTATCTCGTAAGGATGGTATTGATATCAAATAGTATTTTCCATACTAATTTATTCAAAAATAAATAATAGTTGAATAAAATATTGGTGTGTTACACTAAAACATATTACAATAGAATTCATAAGTTTACGTGTCGATAAGTATTTCAGCATTAGTTGGACTGCTTTGAATTGAAACTCAAATTTCTTAATTAATTATTCTATTGAGTAATAAATTCGAGTAGATATAGGAAAAATCATCAGTTTTCATCAGGATGCCTTTAATCATTAATTTTTTTTTTTTTTTGGAATTTTTAAATTTTAGATTAGAAATGAGTGAAATATGTAATCGATTATGTGCTGACCGCATTTAGTATTTTTTTTTTGCAAAACACGATTTTTATTTATTCATCATCAGTATTCTATATTAATTTTTTTATTTTTAAGGATGAATGATTATTATCCCGTTGATTATAATATGCAAATTAAACGTTTTTTAATAATTGAAAATAAATGCAATTTGCAAACATTCTGTTATACACAACGTAAATATTTTAATATATATAATAATATATTACTTATATAATAAAATTAAAATTAATTTTTAAAATTTAACACGCTTAATATGATCATTGTTCAAACGCAGAAAAAATTAAATTTTTGTATATGTGTGTGAATTTAATTTTACAAATTTTATTTGAATTTCAGATTTTGTTCCCGGAGTTTTTCATTTTTGTGAAGTAATTTAATAAAATTCCCTCAATATGGGTTCACTCTTTAGGAGTGAAGAGATGGCTTTATGCCAAATGTTTATACAACCTGAAGCAGCCTATACATCTGTATCAGAATTAGGTGAAACAGGAGCTGTACAATTTCGTGATGTAAATTTCAAATTTTTCTATACAAATCGTCCTTAATTCAACCTTAACATTATAATATTTTTAATTAAAATAATTTCAGCTTAACAGCGGTGTTAATGTTTTTCAACGTAAATTTGTTTCTGAAGTTCGACGTTGTGATGAATTAGATCGTAAACTTCGTTATATTGAAGCTGAAGTAAAAAAAGATGGTGTTATTATTGCCGAATTAAATGATGATATACCAAAAGCACCAAATCCACGTGAAATAATTGATTTAGAAGCACATTTGGAGAAAACAGAAAATGAAATTTTAGAATTATCACAAAATGAAGTGAATTTAAAATCAAATTATATGGAATTAACTGAATTGAGACAAGTATTGGAAAATACTCAAGGTTTCTTTTCAGATCAAGAAATATTAAATTTAGATACAATGCGTAATAGTATAATACCGATTGAAGAGGGTGCACAACAAGCAGCACAACAACAACAATCACGTGGTCGTTTAGGTTTTGTTGCTGGTGTTATACAACGTGAAAGAATTTTCGCTTTTGAACGTATGTTATGGCGTATATCAAGAGGCAACGTATTCGTACGTCAAGCTGATTTACAAGAACCATTAACTGATCCATCAAGTGGTCATAAAATTTATAAAACTGTATTTGTTGCATTCTTTCAAGGTGAACAATTAAAAAATCGTATTAAAAAAGTATGTAGCGGTTTTCATGCATCATTATATCCATGCCCAAGTTCACATAATGAACGTCAAGAAATGGTTAAAGGCGTACGTACACGTTTAGCTGATTTACAAATGGTTTTAAATCAAACTGAAGATCATCGTAAACGTGTATTGGTTAGTGTTGCCAAAGAATTACCAAATTGGAATATAATGGTAAAAAAAATGAAAGCAATCTATCATACATTGAATCTATTCAATATGGATGTTACAAATAAATGTTTAATTGGTGAATGTTGGGTACCAGTTAATGATTTACCAATTGTACAAAAAGCATTATCAGATGGTTCAGCAGCTGTTGGTAGTACAATACCATCATTTTTAAATGTTATTGATACAAATGAACCGCCACCAACATTTAATCGTACAAATCGTTTTACACGTGGTTTCCAAAATTTAATTGATGCCTATGGTGTTGCATCATATCGTGAAGCAAATCCAGCTTTATATACAATAATAACATTTCCATTCTTATTCGCTATTATGTTTGGTGATTTAGGACATGGTATGATAATGGCTGCTTTTGCTGCATGGATGTGCGCTTTTGAACGTAAATTGGGTGCAAAGAAATCAAATAATGAAATATGGAATATATTTTTTGGTGGACGTTATATAATATTATTTATGGGATTATTTTCAATGTATACCGGTCTAATATATAATGATATATTTTCAAAATCAATGAATATATTTGGTTCAACATGGTTTGTAACATATAATGAAACAACAGTTATGTCTAATAAAGAATTACAATTAAATCCAACAACAGCAACAGCTGAAGAAGTTTATCCAATTGGTTTAGATCCAGTATGGCAATTGGCAACAAATAAAATAATATTTTTAAATACATATAAAATGAAATTATCAATAATATTTGGTGTTATACATATGTTATTTGGTGTTTGTATGTCAGTTGTAAATCATTTACATTTTAGACGTCCAATGAATATTGTATTAGAATTTTTACCACAAATAATATTTTTAGCATTAATGTTCGGTTATATGTCATTTTTAATGTTCATTAAATGGATATTATATAGTGCTAAAAATGATGATTTTAAATATTCACCAACATGTGCACCATCGGTTTTAATTACATTCATAAATATGGTATTATTTAAAAGTTCTGATGTAGTTGAAGGATGTGATGCGAATATGTTTGAGGGACAAGAGAGTGTACAAAAAACATTTATATTTATTGCATTATTATGTGTACCATGGATGTTATTGGGTAAACCAATATATATATTAATTTCGAGGAAAAATAAAGGTCATGTAAGTATTCATGTAAATATATAATAATTATGTAATTATGTTATAATTAATATAGAATCAAATTATGTTATATCTATGAGAATAGCATAGAATAATTAAGTAAGAACTATTTTCAAATGAGATTATTAGATTTATTATACTATACAAATAGAGCCTTATATATGAAGAATAAAATTCGAAAATTAACTAGAGCTAGCCGAAATAAGTTTTAGGCACAATATTTTATTCATAAAATCTGTTTGTGTCAGGATTTTTAAGCTAAAGTTAGTGTAATTAGAAAAATTGTTAAATTTATGAATATGAGATCTAAGTTTTAGAATTCTATGCAATTTTTATAGTTTCAAGGGTTTATAATGACCATTTATGAAAGTTTTAATAAAATACTAACACTGAGATTAATTAAAATACACAATAATTGCAATTAATATCAATTAGATTTTAGAAACGAGAATTAGAATTGAAAAATAATTTCCCTAAATCTCAAAATATTTTGCAAAAAATTGGCTGAATTCTTCCATTTCTCTTTCATTTTATTAATTTAATTCAATTTTTTCCCGTTCTTTATAATTTTAGTCAAAATTCAATGGTGACATTAATCAAGGTATGGAATTAACACCAGAACCTGGTTCAGAAATTATAACAACACAATTAGAAACATCTGATAATGGTACAGGTGGACATGGCGGTGGTGGTGGTGGTGGCGGCGGACATGGACATGAAGATGAACCATTTAGTGAAATTTTTATACATCAATGTATTCATACAATTGAATATGTATTAAGTACAATATCTCATACAGCATCATATTTACGTTTATGGGCTTTATCACTTGCACATGCCCGTATGTATTCCCTAAACTATATTCAATTACTCCCTGTCAACTTTTTGATTATGTCACTTTTTTTTTTTTATTACAGAACTTTCAGAAGTATTATGGAATATGGTTTTAGCATTGGGTTTAAAACAAGAAGGTTATACAGGAGCAGTATTCATATATTTAATATTTTGGGCATTTTCGTTCTTAACACTTGCTATTTTAGTCCTTATGGAAGGATTATCAGCATTTTTACATACATTACGTCTACATTGGTAATAATTTCATGAATAATATGTGATTTTTTTATAGAAATTAATTTTTGCTATTAAAATTTTAGGGTTGAATTTATGAGTAAATTCTATGAAGGCTTGGGTTACATATTTCAACCATTCAGTTTTAAAACAATTCTGGATAGTGATGTTGTTGATTAAGAAATATGTATGTGTTTGCATATAGAACGAAAAACTGTAAAGGATGAACATTTTAAATTGAAGATTTTGGAAAGAAGAAATTTTAAGTGCTGAAATTTTATGTTCATTTTTTTTTTAATTTTTGAAATCTCGTTTTTAAAATTGTTTCTATATTATTATAATTATGGCTTTAAAACAAAATCTCAAATATTATTTTCGAATATTTTTATTTTATGTACATTATTTTGTTAATTATTATTTGTTCGTTTTTAAAAAAATTCATTTGATTTATTTTAAAAATTTTAATATTTTATTTTAATGTTTTTTTTTTTTTCTTTTTCGTTTCACTGTCAACTCTTATAATATTTTGGCAATTATAAATTAATTATTATTCAAAAAGCAATATTATGTGTATATTTTGAATTATTTTGTAATTAGGTTAAGAATTTTGCTGAAAAGATTAAGATTACATTTGCTAGTCAATTAAATTAGTAACTTAATTTTAAAATCTACCTTTTAGCTAAGTTTGTTACGAGTATATAATGCAATGTGAATCGATGCAAGAACTAGTAAAGAATCAAGTACCGCTATGACACCAAGTTTTGTTGATCCAAAAAAAGTGATTTTGGGAAAACTGTCGAGCAGTCTCTACTACGTAAAAACAATTAATTACGTAAAACTCCCAGTTTGGAATGTGAAATTCAAATCAATTTGTATGATACAGTACGTTTATATTTTAGACCTACCATAAAATAATATATACACCTGCTAGACAAATATTTGAATATTTTATAATGTTTTTCATTGACGACATTTTTCAAGCTTATGCATTTCCGTTGAAGGAGTGCGATTTTCTCTTTTAGCAAAAGGATGTCGACATTTATAGTATAAGGTATTAGGGGACAATACCAATTATACTTATATTTAATTTATTCACGTAACAACAATTGCAAATAATATGTATAAAACTAATTATGTACATTATGTCATAAAATCTTGCTTTTACAGAACAGAGAAGTTCTAAATTTCGAAATAGAATTATTTTTTATTATATATACGAGTAATACCGTATAATTATGAATCTGACTCTGTGGTGCTAAAATTTAAAGTTGTAACAATAGTAGAATCAAAAATAATGTTGGAATTTCGTTAATGATATTTTACATTTAAATGAATTCAAGGTCTATAAATTCAAATATCCTTTCTAATATCTTTCAGTTATACCCTTTGTACAACCCGTATAACTTAATAAATTTTATTTAAAAATTTTAAAATAAATATTTTTTCCTACTTCTTTAAATTTTATATGACATTATTTTTATAAATTTTTTTTTTAAATCTACAACATATTACATATATTTTCATTTTAACAAAAAAAAAAAAAAAAGATGTCATAGGTCACCAATTACTTCCTCATCATTCAGGCCTTTTTCATGTAAAATTGCACTTAGATGAGTTTCTTTGCATTTTAATATTATTTTGTTTTACTTTTTATATATGTATAATGTTAAGGCACGTCAAAATGTTAACATTTATAATATTTACATGAAAACACACACATTATAACCAGAATTTTTTATTTTCAATAGATACGAGCTCTAATCTTCGATAGTTCGTGTGGTTTTTGTTCGAAAAATAATATTATCTCGAATAGCCAATGTCCGGCAACATAAAATCCAAATTCGATCGATAGATCGTATGAAGTTTTACATAATAATTGAATTCTCTATTATTTTTAGTATAAATTTTCATATTTTAAAACTAAAATTTAGAAAAATTGGATTTTAATTATTACATTTGATGCTCGTGAAATCTCGAATAATCAATATGCGAATATAAGTTTTAAATTATGATATTCGAAATTATGATACTCGTACATATATCTCGGATAATGAAAATCTGGCACAATAAAATCCAAATTCGACTATAGAACAGTTGCAACTATAAAAACCTTTCCTATCTGAATAAACGCTGTATAAAATATTTTAATTCACAAGACGAATTTTTTTTTATAATATTGAATTCATGTGATAATTCTCATCTAAACTCGAATGGTATGAAAACTCCTTTGGTATATGGTGATATTTTTGATTAAAATAAGAAAAAAAAAATTCAACAATTCTATATGACATTTTTTATATTAATAATTTTCAGTTTTTTTTTTCTTTCTCCACCATTATAAAATGTCCTGTAGTATTTTTGTTTTTGTGTTTCCTTTAAAATTTTCACAAAAAAAAATTGTTTTTTTTTTATGAACTTTTCCATTTTAAAATTTTTATTAAAGTTTTTGCACACCGATTAAAAGGAAAAAGTAACCAACTAAAAATAAAATTATTATTCAGTAAACAAAGAAAACAACAAAAAAAATTGAGACAAAATTTTATTTATTCTTGCCTTCTTTAGGGTTTGTTTTGCTAGAAGAACTTTAAAATCGTAAATTATTCGGAGTAATAAGAGTCAACTGGGGTGACTAGGAAAATATTGCTCTATTTTGTATAATTGTTCATTTTATCAGGGTTGGAGTTTTTAGTCTTAATAAATTAATAAATTTAATTATTAATAAATTTTCATTTTGGTAGAGAACGTGGCATGATTAAGTATAACTTTTAATGTTTTTTTTTTTTTTGAATAGTGGCTCTTGGAAAATTGCCAGTGCATCTTAATTAAAGTTTCAATACGATTATAATTTGTTTCTGGTTTTCAAACTGACCGCATTGTTGTGAATTCAGTTGTCGTCTACAAAAACAGAAATGTGTTAATCTTAAAAACTTAAAATCAATTCTTTGGAGAGTCCACTATTTTTATTTATCAAATAGAAAAATTCAATCGAATAGAATATTTCACCAGAAAGTACACCGAAAACTTAAATAAAAAAAAAAAAGATATATAAAAATATGTTGGTAAAATATCATTTATTTCGAATTTCAAATGAATAGTTTCGTTGGAAAAAAAAAATATAAACACAAACATAATTTAAATTAATGAAAAGGAAAACTATATACAGAGGAAAAAATTAAATTTACTCTACCATATATTATAAAATTATTCTATTTGAAATATGGAAATTTTTTTCTTTAAAAAAATTTAAATATTTTTTAGCCTTATCTGAAGCTTTAGAAGTTTGTCAGTCTCTTTAGTAACAGAAATACCATGATAAGATTCATGATGCTGTTCTTTACACGCAGCAGCTATTTCGAATAGTTCCAATCAATATACTAATCAGAATCTTGATCTCTACAGAATGTCTCAAATATTATTTATTCTTGTCTCTTATAATTCTAAATTAGAATCTAAAAATATCACTTCTAGTAATTAGAACGCGTTTTTCTCAAAAAACTAAAATATAAAGTAATTTTTCTATTAGCCCGTGCCATTTTCATGTATATATTATCATATAAAGCATGAAGACTTTCAATATTTGGTTCTTTTTAGAACAATAATTAAAGTATGACAAGAAAAAACCATGGCTAGAATCAGCGAATGCATAGGACAGGCATTTTTTTTCAATAAGCCAATAAAATTAAAAATTTTACAACAATTAGTATACAATTATTTAAGTTAATTTTGGAATATCTTTAAGAATTAAACTAATTTTTCTAAATTTAAATTTTAGAATATCTCTAATGCGATTTTCATGAATGTGGACCTATAATTGAAAAATTATATTATATTTTAATATTTTTGGAATTCTTGTGTTCTCTCACACCTGCATAATATTGGAAAGTATTTTTCAAAAGAAAACATTTTGTAAACTAAATTTATGAATTTTGCGTGTATGCATAAATTTTATGGATTTAAAATATTTTTCATTATAAATTTTCATAATAATATTAAAACTGTTATACATATGTAGGTTCAATTGAATAAACATTGGATAAATTCTATAAATTCTTTGAATTATTGAAAAAATAAAATAAAATTTACAATCAATATTATTATACGGGGTGTTTTGTTCTCAAGATAATTACTATTTTAAAATAATATAGAGAGTAATTAGTAATTTTCGAACAAATCTCGGAAACAATAACTTCAATATTTTGACATTAAGTGAAAAAGAACGATAAACGGTAAATTTCATTCTCATTGTAAATTTTCCCAAAGTAACTGAGAGAATAATATTTCTCATTAAATTCTTTGAAATATTTTTCTCTCTCATACTCTTCTTGTTCTCTCTCTCATACTCTTGCAAAGGCTGTTTGCAAAAATATTTTTCGATGGCCTTGTGCAGTGCTCTCAATACTGAAAAAAAGAAAAATATTCACAATTAGAAAAACAATTTTTTTTGGTTAAATTTTTTTGGTTTTGGGTAAATAAAGTTAAAGGTATCTTTAAGAATTTTAACCAAAAAACAAAATTTGAAATTTTTTAAATGACCTCTGCGTGCATATATGTAGGAACAATTGACTTCTCTGAGTAAAAAATAAAATAAATTTTGTCCTGTGACGCTCTACATACCTACTAGAAAAAAAAGGATAATTAATGTATAAATGAAAAATAGGAAAAGATAGAATAAATAGAGAGAAAAAAAATAAATATAAATAAATTCGCATATAACGGGGATTCATTTTTAATCTAGCATTTAATGGATAAAAATTTGATTGAAAAAATATTCCTTCTCGTAAAGTAACGTTTATGGAGATTATATAATATATACCATAGATAATGCTTGTCCATTAATATTGATTTAAATAAAACAAAACAGAAAAAAAAAATAAAAAGACCCCAAAAATAAGTGATAAAGTAACGCTTCCAAACACAAAAAATATTTTTGTAAAAAGAAATTGAATAAAGTGTATACATAGATTCGACTTGAGGATACATATTTAAGTCTATGATATTACAATCATTGTGACTGTACCACACAACACCTTTTCATCCATAGGACCTTTTGTAATTCTCATCGCAACCTAAGAGAACACTATATTCTGATACCCCGAATAATTGCAGCACTCCCGAGCCTGTAAAGAAATTTACAGGCTCACAAAAGCCCCATCCAAAGTATATCCTGACGTCGGAATTATAATAGCACTGTTTGTTGTAATAATACAAATTAGCAATTGGCATTTATAAGTTGTTTCTACATTAACACAGCATTATTGCATTTCTCATCTCGAGTACGCAAGCTACCGCCTCGTAATCACACAACAATAAGTATTCCTCCTTTTCGTTCTATTTCAGACTGGGACGGCAGACCTTGCTCTCCGTTTTGCCCATTTTCTACAAATGGACCATCGAAAAGCAGTAACCAATGAGCACATCCACTAATAGCCTATAGTCTGGATGCCCAAGTCGGGCCAGTTCCCGACTCGTCGATTCTAAAGTAGATGTGAATTTTTTTGGAGCAAAAAAAGGGCCCAGGCAATTGTTCCAATAGAATGAAATAGATAGAACTTGAGAACCTAA